AGTAACTAGACATCTATCCAAATGCTAGAGTCGTTAATAAATCACTAGCTTGGCTGTATGCTGATCGTGTTCAGAACACTCTGACTATCTCTATATGTGAGGTATTTTAGAAGTTGGCATTCAGAAATCCTTTATTTGATGTGGTTTTTCTGTGAAAGCAATCATAATTTGATGAAAACTTTTGAAATTGGGTGTGAAGTAAGTTTTTAGTAAAACAGGTCACATAATTCATAGAAATAAAGAAACTATATGCTTTGACTCATTCTTAATTGTATGTTCCAGAATTAAAATTTTAAGTAAAGTTTTATTTCGATCTATTTATTGTAGTTTTATTCCTTAGTATTTACAGATTTAGCTTGTGGAGTGTCCACTGGCCTCAGATGATGCTGAGGTCCAGGACATGTGGGATGTGTTATTTTATTGTAAGACAAATCTGAATAGTGGATTGCTTGACTGATGATGGCACCCAGCCTCCACAGTTCACAGTGGCTCTTGTAAAGTGATACAAACTCTGTGTGTGTGTGTGTGTGTGTGTGTGTGTGTGTATAAAAGAAAGCTAATGATAAGTTCTAGTGATTGAAATAAAGAAGCCCATAAACACAGTAGTTTTTATTCAGAAAATTGAAAATTTAGATAAATCAAACAGGAGAACCTTATGGATCCAAAAGGTTTACTTGGATTTTTTCAGTTTTATTTTGAAATGTGATGTATTTAGGGGTATTATATGCTATATTATGTATATTTGATTATATACATATGTTATACATATATTATGTGCTATTCATTAGTCTTCACAAACTTAAACTTAATTTAAATAGGTAAATATACTTCTTTTTTTTGAAAGATGATTTTAGCCCATTTTTCATTCTGAATGAATCAAGTCTTTAGGGACTGCAGATCTAAAAAGAATTAGTGCAGGTCCCAAGAAGTTCAGGTATAGAGGTTCTGCTTCTCTAGCAGAGATAATTAAGAGGATGAGGTGCTTACATAAAAAATATTACATTTGCGCATGTCCTAATGCCTCTTCATTCACCCATCCATGTGTCTCAAGAATCTAGTTTTGCAAATGTAGATGTAGAAAAAAAAAATGAATGAGCTGAAATGAATTGCTATTCAAGAGTGTGAACCAAAATTAAGGAATCATAGAGTTTTCTAATTACAACATACCTGAAGGATAATCTCCAAATATCCTCATATTTCAGAAGAAAAAACTGTCTGGAGCAGACAGGTAGGGAGTAGCAGAGGCAAGAACAGAACCTGGTATTCTGAGGCTCATTCTCGTGGGTCGTGGGGTCTTGTTGCAAACACTGTCTAATTTGTGTTTTGTGACTTTCAAAGGCAGTTAAAGTAAATTGTAAAAGTCCACAAGCCTTACATCACTTTCAGAGTGCAGGTATCTGACTTTTTCTGGCTCTTATCCTCTTCTCCACATAAGACCAGCTCCTCACATCTGTGAGATCTGTACAGGGACTTGGTCAGTAATCAGGTGGCCAGAACAAAAGCTCATTTCTGTGGTACTGGGAACAGTACTTTCTCCATAACGACTGAGAGTCACATGAGAACTTCTGAAGATATCTGAGGGGTCAAGGAGGCTATAATATGTGTGTAGTCAAGATATTTTGTATTTGGTGAGTGATAATAAGATATCATTTCAGGAGTATGCAGAACACATAGACCTCAGGTTGAGGCCCATTTTAAAATGCATTCTTTTATAAATATATCACTAACGGTGATTGTAAGGCTAAGGACCTCCTTATGTATGGCAAATAAGCCTTCTCCCTTTAACTGACAGCAAATACTATACATTGTGTTCAGTGTTCTCTTCTTTTCTGGCGAATTTCAATGACTGTGGCTATTTTTTTTTTAATTTCAGAAAGCTGTTGACATGCTTTTAGACAATGAAGATAAAATTTCAGTAAGTGTCTTTTATTTTATTTTATTTTTTTATATGTTAGTAGGTGAGTGTCTGGGACTGTTGTAACCAAGAAGAGAACAGATGTTTATCAGATAATTTTCCACCTATATTCCTGTCCTCATAACTCTGTGTTTAAAATTTTCCTTTTTCTCCAGATTAAAAAGGTAGTGGAAGAATTAGAAGACAGACCAGAATTACAGCATGTGGTGAGCATAACCATCATCTTCTTTTGCCCTTTAGATTGCGTAGTGGGGCACATCACCTTTCAGTATTGGGGAGAGAATCCTGCAGTGAACTCTTCATGTTAATACTCAGATTGCAGGCTTGATGACAAACAGTGTTCTGTAATTATTAATGTTCAGCATGTGCTCTGAATCCAGGTTAGGGATTAATTACAGATCAGACACTTTCATTTGACTCACAAGTGATTAGTGATTTAAAAAAAGTTATATTTATTTTTGTGTTGATCATACTGTGCCTGGGAGTAAGCACCTTCCTTCTGTCATTGCTGTTTGACATAATTATAGCATAAACTAGAGGCCCAGTGCATGGATTCGTGCATTGGTGGGGTCCCTTGGCCTGGCCTAAGCCCTCTTGCAATCCAGGACCCTTCGGGGATGTCAGAGGCCCAGTGCACAGATTTAGCCCGATCCCTGCAGACCAGGCCGAGGGACCCCACCGGTGCACAAATCTGTGCACTGGGTCAGTTTTGGCTCGATCCCTGCAGGCCAGGCTGAGGGACCCCACTGGTGCATGAATCCGTGCACCAGGCCTCTAGTATGCATATAAGATCTTTGGTTAATCTCTTCCTACCCTCCCCACTCCCCCCTTCCCTCTGAGATTCATCAGTCTGTTTCATATTTCCATGCCTGTTCATTGAGCATCTGCCCCCTGTTGGTCAGTGTGCATCACAGCTACCAGTCGAACAGTCACTTAGGCTTTTATATACAGACTAGAGGCCCGATGCACGAAATTCATGCAAGAGCCTTGGCCCCGGCCCCTGCCCACCACCGCTGCTGCTGTGGTTCCTGCCTGCCACCCCTGCAGCTGGGGGCCTCTGCCACCTCTGCCTCGGCCCTCGCCTACTGTCGCTTTGTCCAGAAGGAAGGACGTCCAGTCTAATTAGCATATTGTGCTTTTATTATTATAGATTACAACACCACAGAATGATCAAGGAACAATCTTCTTTCTTCCCCCTCACCTGACAGTAGTTAATCCCACTTTTCTGGAGTTGTCTTGGTGGTGCTGCTGTTAAGGCCCTCTGTTCTAGATCTTTTGGGGGAATATCATTGCTGTCATCATGGGAGTAAAACAGGAGTAGCTGTTTGCTGTGTCCTTTAAAAACTGTATAAAAAAAGGTTTCAGTGACAATAGGGATTATTCTGGTAGAGAGTGCTCTTGTATCTTAGCCCACCTTTTTGTACCCCAGGAGGAGGCTCTGGGAATAGAGTATTATAGTTTTGTGCAGGTGCTGTTGCTATATTGTTTGTGATTGGAAATCTCCAGATTGTCTGCTGACCCAAGCACAGTGGCACTGTGCTGGCCACCCTGGCATTTGTTTATAAAGCAATGATTTCGGGCCTTCTTGTGCCATGAGGCAGGATTACAGGCGGTGGGTGCCCGTGTGACAGTGTAATTAGTGCAGTAGTGAAATGGTGGCCGATGTCACCCTAAAATGCTTATCTTCCTGTCAGGTAATGGGGTGTCTCTATGCATTTGTTCCGGCTGATGTGACAGAGCCTTCCCTTCCTGCTATGCCTCTGGGAAATAGCACTGTGTGTCCAGCTCACACGCTAAACCCAGCCGGGGCCAGTGGAGGGCAGTCGCCTCTGTCATATGGCGTGGAGTTCTGACTGCTCCCCCTTTCCTGCCTTCGGAAGATGCATTGGTCGGGGTTAGGCTCCTTTACTGACCCTACGCAACAGAGGATGTCAAAGGTCACCTAACTCACAGACAGCCCCAACTTCAGGGGCAGGCGGATGCTCTGTGCTTCTTTTGAACCAGTTTACTAGGGGTGCAAAAGCACTTTACATGAATGGTGTGATGCAGTCTTTTAGCCTCCCATGGGTTATGGGATGTTTGTTTACATTAACTAAACATTGAACATTGATTTCCAATTTCTGTGTAATGTATTGCTAGACTTAATCTTGCCTCTGAGTACCAAGTGAATTACTCATTTCCTTTGAAGTCCATTAACTGTTTTAGACAGCTAGGGAAAGTAATTAGTTGAAAATTAGTTTAGAATACCTGTACTCTTCTTGATTTTTAGTTGTTATTTTTATCTTTGATGTCACCAGTACAGGCAGCATATCATTGCAAACACAGACTCTCAATAATCCTAACAGAGGAGATGTAGAAGGTATGAGAATTAATTGAGTGCTTACTGCTTGAATTGTTATGATCTAGAAAGACCACTAATCAAGGGTTTTATTTCTGCAGCAAAATAGATGATGACAATATTAACAACTATGGTTGACCCTTGAGCAATGCCAGCGTTAACCCACAGAGGTGAAAATTGTGTATAACTTTTGACTCTCCAAAAACTTAACTACAGTCACCCCTCTGTATCCTGGGGCAACTGGCTCCAAGACCCCTGTGGTTATCAAAGTGTGTACATGCTCAAGCGCCTTTTATAAAATAGCGTAGAATAATGCATACACTCAGCCCTCCACATCGTGGTTCCCCAGCTACAGATCAAAAATACTGTGTTTGATCTGTGGTTAGTTGAATCCGCAATGCAAAACCCCGGATACAGAGGGGTGACAGTATATTTACTGAAAAAAATTAACATGTAAGTGGACCCACACAGTTCAAATCCATGTTGTTCAAGGGTCAACTGTACCATCACTAGCACTTCTGTAGTGCTTAGTGTATGCCAGGCATGGTTCTGAGTGACTTACAAATGGTAACTCATTCAAACCTCACAGCAGCCCAATGAGATTTTTGCAGGTAAAGAAACTCGGTCACAGAGAGATTAGTGACTTGCTCACTGGATAGTAAGTGGTAGAACCAAGTCACTCTATGCCAGAGAAAGTCAGTCTCCTTGTTCTGGCAAAGATATTTCTCTTTCACATTCAGATTGTTTATTCTTGTAAGCTGCTTTCCCTCAACCTCACCACAGAAGCTGTTTAGAATAGAAAATTGGGATGTTAAACAGGTATTGCTTTTCTTATTTTAATATTCATGGTTTATCCCTTTGTTCTTTTTAGTATCTGCATAAGCTTTTCAAGAGAGACCATCATAAGGGGCAGCGCTACCATGAAAAACAGATCAGCCTTTATGCTGAATATGATCGACCGAACTTACTTCCATTTCTCCGAGACAGTACCCATTGCCCCCTCGAAAAGGTAAGTCACAGCTCCCCCACTCACACACTGCAGGTGAAGAAGTTGTCATTGTGGGTAAGCTGCTGGGTATTCTGCTCTTCCTGTCCCTGCTCATCCGTCCCTCTTCCGGGGGAAGACTGTTGCTCTAAGCAGTAGGTTTGGCTCGGGCATTCTGATGAGAGGTAGAGATCCTGTTGGATTAGATTTTGGTAAGAAGCCCAAGTATTTCTGTGCCAGGTTTAATTGGAATAAAGGATTAATCCCGGGCCTAGTCAGCCATAGAGCAGACACTGTGTCAGGAGTCTGAGTCAGTGTACCAGGATCGGCATGGACTCAGAGGCAGCCTGGGGGAGACACAGACTGTCCTGAGCCAGAAGCACTTGCTCCGCTCAGGACTCAAGGTTGATAACTCAGGCCCTACACCCTGGCTGCCTTAGTCACCTTGAGTGTTTCTGTATTCCTCTCTCACTCTACAGTTCATTTCTCTAGCATACTGCATCCCATTATAATTATAATTATATTTTAGCCTTTTTCCCCAGTATCTTGTAAATTCTTCAAGGATAAGGAGTTTTTCTCACTCATTTTGGTGAACCCACACCTGTTAGACACTTAATGTGTGTGGCATCATGAGCGAGTGCATAAATGAATACAAACAAGGTTCTAGTGAGGGAGGAATAGGAACTAGCAAGTTCTATGTACCTGTAATAAATAAACAATAAATACTTCCTGTGCAGGTACTAGAAACTGGGCACTCTAAGACCATAGGTATTGTTTCCCATGATTCTTATAACATTTGGAATGCTATCTAACATAACAAGTGTCTTATTAAATAAATTCAGATCGTGAGGTAAAAAGTACTTTATAACCAGCAGTATGTATCGACAAAACAAAAAAAGTATTTGACCCAGCTTATGTGCACTCACAACCTAGTTTCTTCTTCAGCCCATTATAATTAAATGTATTGGATTTACTATAAACAGTTTCAGCTCAATGGATTTTCAAAATCTGTTGAAAAAAAAAATATCTTGCCTGCATATTAACTTAATTTATCAAAAACTGTAACATTTTATACTTTGGCCCTAAGACATTTTCTCAAAAAATACATTTGGAAATACATCGTCTTACTCTAAAAGTAAAAGCAAATGTTCTCCCTCTTTTCCAACTACAGAATCTATAATCTAGAAAAAGCTGGGAAATGCAAAGTTTGTAGATTTTCATTAAAGAAATTTAAAGACAAAATTAGATAAACTATGACAGACTCAAGGCTAGGTAGAAATCATTATTTAATTTATTATTGATAAGGTTCTTGTTAGTTACCCCAAACTATGTTCCTTACCATTGTACTACATCAGGAAAAGGAAAATTAAAATATTTTTGCAACATTTTTTACTCAATTTCTGTCATTCCTTTTACCTTTATTTTTACTACTACCAGTATTCCACTTTTACCTGTATGTCCTATTAGCTTTAAAAAAGAATCTTAGTTTCCATACTCTTTCCTCTAGAGGGAGCACTATGGCCCAGGAACATTCAAGAATCTAAAATAAGGAGGCATGATTTTATATTGCACTGTGTCAAGAATAGAAAAATTATTTGAACCAGAAATACTTTTCTCAAAATTTCTAGAAATTATTCTAGAGTCTCTACATTCTCATATATGAGAAAGGATAATTTAAGATACTATTAGGAACATCAAACATTTAAAATTCTGTGATATTCAAATTTCAGAGACTCACATTATCTTTGAGCTTGGTGTCACACATCTGCTTGCATTCAAGAACCTTCTTGACTTCAAACTTGCCTTTAGGTATCATGTTGTACATGAATGATCATACTTGATAGTATCCTAAAAGCTTTCAGCAGTTTGATCCTGTAGAATGTTCTACAGTTGAATATTTGAAAAGTGGCTAGAGAGGAACTGAATGTTTAATATAATAGATTTCAGTAGCGACAAGTAGAAAGTGGCTACTGTCTGGGGTCGCTCGGGAGAGCCTCCAGACTGCGTGTGGTTTGAGACAAGCATATTCTCAAGCATTTGCATTTACTCAAGAAGAGGGGCGGGTAGGTGGTTCTGTTTGAAACATCTGCAGGCACTTCAAAGTGTCAGTAAATTTCCAGGTACATAATTGATTTTTGGATACCTTCCAGTAAGAAACTACTTTAGGCAGCATATTCATCTTTATTCATATTGTCTTTGAGCATTCTACCTATCCAGTTGTGTTATTACCATTATCTGTTTACCTGTGAATGACACAGTCTCACTAAACCATAAACTGTCCATCTGCTTCTCCGTCTGCTAGCACAAATCTGGGCACTCACCTGGTTTCTCAATAATTTTTTTTTAAATAGTCCCAAGTCTTCTGACTTTAGATTTTTGCTTTTTCTCTTACTATTTAAAATTCTCACATGTGTATCCTGACTCTGTTCTACTATCATCCCAGAAGAGTTAAGAGTTGGTAAGAAAGTTCCGTTGTTTAGGATGATGATTTATAGGCATGACGGTATAGAGAGAGGTAAACCATCTTTTTAACCAAAATGAATGAGGAGTGCCGTGGCTGGGTGGCTCAGTTGGTTGGATCATCATCTCCTACACAGAAAAGGCTGCAAGTTCAATTCGTGATCAGGGTACATATCTAGGTAGCGGTTTTGATCTCCTGCCTGGGTGCATATGGGAGGCAATTGATCGAAGTCTCTCTCTCTTCCTCCCCACCCTCCCTTCCTCCCTTCTTCTCTCTCTAAAAATCAATAAAAAGATGAGGATTTAAAAAAAAATGATGAATATGGAATTTCTAAGTGGTAGTTAGGATTAGACTCAGCCATGAGTGATAAAAGTTCCAAAGTAATAGTGGCTTAAACAGAGAAGCAGTTTAGTTCTCTGTCGCATGGAAGTCCCGGTGGAGTGTTCTGCTGGTGGTGCATGTCACAGGGTCCGAGACCCAGGCTCTTTTCTCTTGCTCCCCCACCTGGTATGACCTTGACCTTCTGATGTGAGATAGTAGCATCCATGTTCGCAGGATCGGATTGGATGAAAGGACTGAAAATGAGAGAGAGAAGGGTTCACGCGTGCTGCTTCTTAAAGAGCACCCCAGAAGCTTCCATGTTTCTGGTTCATCTTGGGGAGGCTTGGAGATTTTTTTTTTTTTTAATTTTGGGCAGTTCCCCACCTGAAATCTTATTACTGTAGAAGAAATGAGTAAAAGACATTGGGGGACAACTAGTTATCTCTGCCATGTAACTTTTAAAGGAATCTTGTGAGAAATTGAATTAATAGTGTTTCCTCCTCTTTGTGGCCTTCAGGTCTTCTCATTTCCTCACTTAAATGATTTGTGTACTTTAAAATGCCATCCTAATTTCATTGCCATTCCACAGTAAGGTGTTATTTGTTTTTTTCCCTTTTGTATGTTTCATTTGGGTTTTCCCCCCCTACATCATTGATCTCTATGGTCAGCATTTTTTTCCTCCCTTTTAGTTGTTAATCTCCAATCATGGACATAGATTTAAATATATATTTTACTCAAAAATTTTTAAGTCAGAAATCCAAATGTCAAAACTAGCTCCTGCTGTCATTTCCCAAGATGGCCCATTGAGCTGAAAGAGCCAAAGAACTTAAGCTGTTCTTTCT